TTATCGCTGTTTTTCAGAGAACTTGTGCTTGTGAAAACGTGCCCTGGATACTTCTTTGTGTTTTTGCCCGGGAAAGTCCTTGGTATCGTTTTCGCTAGTCTCGTTCGCCGTGCCCCGCTCAAGCCGAAGGCTTTTTTTTCATCAATTTTTTGAAAGAGTTCGTTTATCCTGCTGTAAATACTCAGACCCATGGTGGAATGTTGTAGCCTCTAGCTGTAGCTTTCTCCCGTCGAGTTCCATCTGTGCGGTCCCGTACATTTGCTTGCGAGAATCCTTTTTTCCCGCATTTATGCCATGTTTAACAGGTTCGCGTCGCTTTCTTCCACCTTTTGCTGCGTACAGCGCTAGCAGCAGCAGCAGTAGCTGACCAGTGGCTAATGCGGTTCGAGTCGCCAACACAGTTTGAGGCGCTCTCAGCTTTTTTTTTTTTTTCATCGCCGTGATAGATATTGGTTTATTTTTTTGCTGTTTCAGTGGCTGTAACTGAGAAGAGAATGGAAGCAAATGGGAATAGCGATGCTGGTGCTGAACGGTCAGCCAGTGATGCCGGTGGCGGTGAGCAGTCCTCTGGATGGTACGAGCGTTTCATGGGAATGCAGTGCGCAGATGTGCCGTTAGCATTTTTTCTGTTTTTGGTCATTTTATAATAGTTTTTTGTGGTAATTTTCATCCAAAGCCCTTATATACCAGCTGTGTGCTTAAGATGCGTGGCAAACCCAAACACAGCAAAGTAAGGCCCAGACAAAGCAAGGCTAAGCACTCTGAATAGCAGCTGGAGGGAGCTAGTTTTAGCCAAGAGCCCTACTTTTCGTGTGTCTGCTTTGTTAGCATTGAGAATTTGGCAGGGATAATCCGGTTACGGTGGCTTTAGTGGTGTGCCACCGATTTCTTAAGGAATCCTCAATGTATATGTGTACATGTATGTTGAAACATGTAGCAGTTGTGTAGAATATAGAACGGGATGCAGAACAGAGAAGCCTGAATTTTGAGGGGACAGAAATCTTGAATTTATAAAATTTCCACGAAATTATAGCGCACTTTTTATTTGCTATTTTCATAACAATCGTCACTCACTTCTTTGCTTTATACATTTCAGTCCAGATTTGATGATACGCCTGGTACTGGACTTTTTAATCTCACAAGGACATCGAGAAGCAGCAGAAGTGTTGTGCGAGGATGCCAATATACCCTTCCCAAGAGATGCGCTTGAAAATTTGGATCATCGCATGTGCATTCGAGATGACATCCTGGAAGGAAAAGCATGTCTTCTTTCATTTCACACTTTTTTTTTTTCATCTTTCAAAAATCCGATTACTTATTATTTTACAAAATTCCTATGCGATTGTTTCATCGTAGTGTGGTAGTGGTAGCCCACTACTGCTATGATACCGGGATGCAATGTGTAGCAGCCCGAGAAAACAGTATGCTGCATTTTGCTTGGTTAAACTTGAGAGGTATGTACCTCTGTCAGTTTGATCAGAGAATTATACAGTAAAAGCCATGCAAACAAAGTGCACCCATTATGGCACGACATTGAAAACGACATGAAATAATGGAAATAAGGGGGGAGCCAGACTTCTTTCCGGCCTGGTCTTTGGTGCCGAATGAACAGCTGGATGTACGAGAGGTCATTAAGAATTTTAAGTGACCGAAGGACCGCTACTGTAAGTTGCTATCGAGGGTTAAACTCATGATGTGATGCTGGGGACAGCATGTAGAAACTGCTGCCAGTTGGCACATTTTTCACAGCATCATCGATACCTTCAAAATATCGAATGGCTGAAACCGCGTTCATCTGAACTCTTCAGTGCCACTGTGTTGAGGGCAGTACATACGGATGCGAAACGTGGTCACCTCAGAAAACAGAAGAGCGAACGCTGGCTGTGACGGGAAGTGTGATGGACTGAAAGATATTTGGTGTCTCTCTTCATAAGTGTATGGGCAGTCAAACTCTCTGTATGATGAGCGCTGCGTGGAATGTCATTGCTACCATGCAGGAAAGTGGATTTTTGATATACAGGACATGTTGCGCATCAAGCTATGGACAAGTGGATTCTGCTGATGACGGTACCAGTGAAAAAGTAAACGACCACTCGAACAGTTTCGGAAGGGGATGCTTACTACGAACAAATTTTAGCTATTAGTTGGAGCTGTACAGCCCTCAGGGCCGAAGGATAGTTGGGCTGGGCGTTGGAGAGCATCCCAGTTAGATTACTAACATGGGGGTTTACAGTGATTGTCTTAAATATTCCAGGTAACTGATGAAAAAAAAAAACAGCTGCCTCATTGTTACCGCACTGCTGCTTGTCTTTTCTACACGCACTATTCATCTTAGTAAAATGAAAATTCAAGATTTATCGTCTGGTAGCAAGTCCGTCAGTTGCACAGGCTATTAAGCTGTTGATGCCTTTGAACTGTATTTTTTTTTTTTCAGATCCAAGAAGCAATCGAAAAGATTACAGTGGTTGTGCCTGATTTGCTATCTCGTAACACAGTTCTTCATCTTCGTTTGCTACAACAGCATCTCATCGAATTGATCCGGAACAAAATGGTAAAATTAATTTTTGCGAACGAAATGTTACTGCAAAGTGCCGCATCGGAGAAGCAAAACTCCCAAGTGAAGCAGTGCTTTGTTAGTTTGTTGGTAGTTATTAACCCTTTAGCGGTTTTTATAGGTGGAAGAAGCAGTGACTTTCACGCAGTCGATCGTTGAAAAAGTGGAAGATTCGCCTGAGATGGAAAAAGAAATGCAGATGGCTTTTTCAATGATTGCATTCGAAAGACCGGAGGATTCACCGTACACTCATCTGCTGGATATGAGTCATCGTCAAATGGTTTGTTAAAAAAATTAGTTGATCTTATTTATTATGCGTTTTGTGCTTTGTAACGGCAGTACAAAACACATAATGCCACGAGGTTGCCTGTATGTGTGTCCGCAACAACTTGTCCGCAGCTTTCAACTCCTGAACCACAAAGGTAGGAAGCTGAAAATTTAGGGGAATGTTCCTCACCCGCGTGTGACCTCGCAAATTTAAATTCAACCTCCCCCGTTCCCGCTGTCAACACGCAGGGCCCCGTAAAAATCTGGGTGGGGAAAATTATTATCTCGGGAACCACGGAAGTCAGAAGGCTGAAATTTGGGAGGGCTGTTCCTTGCCCACGTGCAACCTCTCAAATTTAAATTCTGAGCAGTGAAAATCATTAGCAGGCATTCGTTCGGTGGACGGAATTGCACAAAACGCATGATCGTACTGGCTGCCTTGGTGCGCGCCGCTACTTATTAATATATTTTGTTAGACGCGATTTGACAACCAGTTTCTAGCACTTAATGGCATCGCAGGGAACAGTGATTTTTTTCTGCGCACAAAATCAGACTAGTCTGCGGCTGCGGATCGATATTTAGAAGGCTAGAGAGTACCAGGTTTTTTGGATGTAATCACTCTAGCACGACGCACTCGTACTTTTAATAATACCCATCTACAGCTGCAGGTTTCTGCTGAGGATTGGGCTTTTCAATCGTTTTTTGCAAAAAGTTGTACGATACTGTGAGTG